ACTTTTTTAAAAGAAACTGAAAAAGAAAAGCATTTTACGGCATGAATTTGGACCCATTTTAAATCATTAATATGAAAAATTAGAAATTTTCACTATTTGACAACAATTCGTCATTTCTATTAAATTAAATTGTATTTTAAAAGAAATCCATTTTTAATATAATTGCAAAAAAAAAAAAAAAAAAAAAAAAGAAAAAACCAGATCAACAATTAAATATTCAGACTGCATAGAACTTTTCAAAAACTGAAAATCGCAAAATTAATTTAAAGCCAAAAACTCATAATATTGTCTTTTGGTATACTTATCAGACTTTTGCCTCCTTTTATTAGCAATATTAGTAATAAGTTAATTAGATTAGTGCTACGTAACAAATGAAACAGTCGTCTATCCACTAAACTGAACAATTTTTTTAAACGTTTTATTAATTTGTAACAGATTATTTTATGCTATAATTCATTATTTTGAGATTTCAATAAGCTTTTAAAAGAAATTTATTAATAAACTATCTACTTATAAAATAAATTTAATGGTCTCACAGTGATAGCCTTTTCGATGATGAATGAACAGAAAATTTTTGTGCCAAAAGAACTGCCATAAACGATGTTTAGCATGTAGTTATAAGTGAATTCCATCTTAAATAATGGGAAAGCAAAAAAAAAAAAAAAAAGCAATGAGAACAACTATCAGTTCATTAGTGAGTATTTAGAACGAATAGTTTCAAACAATATACTTTAATGGTTCTCATGTTCAGATTTCTTTCAAACGTTAAATAGATTAAAAGATTGAATCATGAAATTTAATCTTCAAATTAATTCAACAACCTTATTCATTTCTTTTTTTTCCACCATAGATTTATAAGCAAAGCATTTTAAAATTTTTCTCTCGAAAAAACGCTAATGAATGCTTGTTGATTGAATTCGGCTAATTTAAACTACAGGTAAACTTAATTCAATTTATTTTGACCAGTTTTAGAGTGCTCAAAGCTGTTTACTTACTAAAATGATTTCTAATAAGAGAAAAGCTGATGTCCTTAAATCTCTAAATCTAAAATTTGGGCAAATAATTTATGCGGCAGTCATCACAGCATTGAAGTTTGTTGAGTCGCTTTCAGAACAGTTTTAATTAGTACATAAAGGTTAATAGTTTTGGAAATAATATATTCGTCTCCCAGGTAACAATTTAATTCAACGTCAAATTTTCAAATTTTCGTTAAATTATTATCTAAAAAAACCTTCAAATGAATAAATTACAATTATATCTAAAAAATCGTTTCATAATTCCTTGAATCCCGGAAAGTCATTTAGTAAAATAATGTACGAAAATTTTTTCCGGATATCAATATAATAAAAGACTACTTCGAATCGAATCAATTTTAAGCTTTGAATGACTGACTTTTAATTATTTTGATTAATTGGCCAGAACACTAGGCGATAATTTTATTGATTGAACGGAGTTAGTGAAAGTAATATTCCTCCAAACTAAATAATTGCATTTTTTGCTGGTATTCAAAAACTACTTTTTTCTATGTCATTGGTGCTTTGTGGCCAAGATAGTAAGTTATTTCATTCTACAAATGACTGATGACATCACAAGAAAGATTTCAAATTAACTAAGTGAATTAAATAGTCGAATCTATTGGAATAGAATCAAAAATGACTAGCAAAAAAACATTGTACCACGTATTTTTAGAAAATCCAATCGAAAGATATCAATAAGTTGTGGCATTTTGCGCACTATCCTAAATGGAAGTCATAGGAGAATGAGGGTTGTTTATATGATATGAGCACATTAACTCAATTTTGCACCATTCTGTCAACGAATTCCGCCAGTGAGCATCATCATTTCCATTACCGCCTTGATTTATATAACATATCTCTTTAGAAGAAACAATTAAATGGAAGAAGATAGAATTAATCCCTTAGATGGAAGAAGAAATCAGTTTATTTCCGCCTATTAATCATACGTCCCTGTCTACGTCTATGTGCCTTTGTTTTTAGAAAAACTTTTTTAGAAAGATTTTTGTATCGTTTTCAATTGGAATAAAACTGTCATAATATGAAAAAAAAATTTTGTCCTTAAAATCATAGAATTGATAAACTTTATTTAAAACAAACAATTATGTATCAACCAGTAACGTTTTCATCAAATATTTCGATATTTCTACGATATTATTCTCGAAAATAATTGACTAATATAAAATTTATTTATTCGAAAAACAGCTAAAAAAACTTTTTGTGTTTTATTTAATCAGAAATATTTAATTTTTTAAAAAATTAATCATAAATGACCTATTCCAATTTCATATTCTGATCAGAAAGACACTTTACGTCACATTTCATTGCGCAACCGTTTACAGGTCGATTAGTAGTTTAATTTAAATAAAAATGCACATTGCATATTCACCTTGACTAAGCCTAAATACTCTTTCGAAGTGCTTTTTTGATTTGTAAATTAGCGCCTTCTTCAGCAAAACAAAAAGGTCTTAGCTTAGTCCAAACAGGTTTATTTCAATGATACTTTAATCATCGTAAAAATTTCTTTATTATCAAAAAGCTTTAAAAAAGTTCCTCAATGATGTGTTGCCACAATTTTACTACAAATTAATTTTAATAAACATTTTTACATTTTCATGTTCAAGATTTCAAAAAATAAATTCATGAAATTTATTAGGAATAAATATGCCGTTCCTTAAATTTCTTTAGCAGTAACCTTAACCCAACAAGCCAACATTTTCTTAAATATGTTTGCTTTAAAAATTCTCCAACGATATTCATAATTGTAGCTTAAGACTAAAAGCCAACTGCTAATCGATAAAATTAGTATATTCCTTATTTTCACTGCTTCTACATTTCATATATCATTGCACATTGACTTATAGTATATCATTTGGAAGTGAAAAGCAAAATTTTAGTCTTTGAAACTGAGGCACAACTTTGAAAACTATTTCGTAAGTTTTACAAATGATTAAACTTGATGCTTGGTAAAAGAATCTGGTAAAATCCCTTTCTCTTGTGAAAGTTAAGAAGAAAGTTATGAAGCAAAAATATATCAAAATAAAAATAAAGTTAAATATATTATTAAAGTTGCTCTTAAAAGAAATGTATGGTGTCGCCTTATCCAAATTTGCTTTACTATATCTTACTATGAGCCATTCAATTATTTAGTTACGTAAAATCCATCCATCAGCAAATGGGATAAATATAACTATTATTCATATAGGAAAAGAAGTGGAATATATTTTGAGCGAAATCAATTTTGATCTCTGAAATTTATTGATGAATAATTTTAATTTGCAAAATAAAGAAGATTGAATGATGAAATGCAGAGGACAAAAATCTGATATTATCAGAATAGTTAAGATAACTAGCAGAATATTAAAAGACCCATTTTTCCTTTGCTGAATAGCATAACTCAGTCCTTACTAGTGAAATAAATATCACTCAAGAGAGTTTTGATATTTTGTTGCAGCGGGCACGGAAAAGTGCAGAAATTTCTGCGTTGAATATCGCGAGAAATCATCATGCAAAATCGAGAATAGATGATAAAGAAAATTTTGTCTTGCTAATGAGAATTATCATTGACCATACTATCTTCTTTGATTCCAAATTATCATTTCTGCTAGAACTGAGTACTAAATGAAGCTTCACCATATGCTATATTTAAGATTTCATTTTGTCATACTTTGGAATACTGCAAAAGAGCGCTAATGAGTTCGTTAATCAAACTAATAAAAAACCAAGGTAGCGAGGATTAAATAGGTCAGTGAAAATTTTCTTAGCATTCAGAGAGATAAAAGTCTATGAATAAAAGGACTGTATGTAAAAGCAATTTAATATGAAATTAAACTAAAAAAAATTTCAAATTCTTTAGTTTTAAAAACGTTAGGTATTTGAAATATTAACTCACCATCACTTTAACAATTAAATTAAAATGGTTGATAATTCTGTTGGAAATAATTTTGCTATAAAAGAGTTTTATTTCCCTAAAATTTATTAAGAAAAACACACTATGCAATAATTTTTGTTCAGAATTTTATGCATCCAAACTTTAGAAATAAAATTGAAACAGAAAAATAAACAATGATGTCATAACCCATGATAACAAAATAATATAAATAAGAAATACAATTTTTCAAAGTTGAAAAAATATGAAAGATAATGAAATCTATTGCGAATCTAGAAAGCACTAAACTTCCAAGATCTTGAAAAACTGCAATAATTGAAAGTGTTCATAAAGAAAAGTGAAATTTTTTCTCTTCTTTTTTTTCCTGATATTGTTAAATTGAGATTACGAACTAAATTCACAAATGATCGACAAAATAGAAACTTTCGGAGAATTTCCTCCCTCAGCTCCAAAGATTTTTAAATAATATATTGTTTAAAGTAAAATCGATAAAATCAATTCTGACTCAACCCTTATAACCTCTTATGAGTAAAAAAAAAAGAACTATCAAATGAATTTCAAGGGAAAGAAAAAAAATCATGCAGGAAAAAATTTTTTTCTTGTTCATTTCAAACAAATATAGATCTTCACCGCTGATGGAATTTAGGTTTTCTGATTATTTCTTATCAAAATTAAATCAATTTTCAATTCTTGAGATTTTTTCTAAAGTTTCAAATATTTTAAGCATTAGCAGAAATTGACAGCAGAAGTGGTGACATCTTGTGAAGATGCTTTAGTGATATTCACTACTAATCGAAGTTATTAATTCGTGAATTTTCTTAAAATCTGTTTTGCTATGATATAAGGAAAAATAATGCATCAATTTTCCAAATTATTTCACTAAACATTAACTCAAATTATAATACACTGATATCAGTTTAATAAAAAATATTGCAGAAAAATGTAACAAACAGATTTGAAAGGACAACTGAAGGAAGAGATCTTGGAAGCTTAGCTTAAAGGTTGAGAGAAAGCGAAGAATTGCGCTCATTTTCCCTCCGAATATTTGATGCATTGAAGTGTTTGAGTTATGCTCAAGAAATGTGAAATTCTTCAATCTATGCATTTATCCTTGATGGTTCAATTTTGTTCGGTTTAAGTTTACTTTCGTGATACATATGCAACCATCGTTTTTGAGCGCTCAAGGCTTGATTGTGGGTCCTTTTGTTTGTTGCTGATAAGGCAATTGTCACCATTGGCAGAGAGGCTCTTTTTGCAGACTTTTTTATGTGAGTAAAGATGTGATGGTTGAATGCGGTCATAATAAATCTAAAAAGTGACAGAATCGAATCATAATATGTCATCAAAAGAGAAAATTAATTGAGCTAATTAAGAGTATTTCCATTTCTCATTGAATTCAGTATAAATGGCTGAATAGAAAAGAGTAGAATCATTTGATGATCAAATGAGCAAAAAAGATAACAAACCCATCAGCGGCGTGCATAGTTAACCAAGCACCAATATTTAGTAGAAACATGGAAAATGGCGTTGTGGCATGGATAGCAACGCTCCAAAAGCATAGGAATGTCAGTATGAGCGCTGTTTCCGAGCAAACAGACTGAAATGACGATGGCTTATCGGAAGAGAATTTGGTGGAATAAGAGATAAAAGAAAGAGCCGTCATCGTTCAGTTTCAGAAAATAGATTGGAATGAAAAGATGATGCTATAATATAGCAAAAGAGACTAGCAGTGGAAACGGTATTAGCACACCTCAAGGCCATTTGGACTATAACAAAATTTAAATCACCTGAATGAAGTATCGAATCTCTTGCGCTCTCCGTCTGCGAATTACTTGCTGAAAGCCGTGTATTGGCTGAAAAAAAGAGATGCAATAATTTCTATAAACATCAATTCTATTGATAAAAATTTATTTTTATCATTTGAAGTACGAAAGGAAACATCGATCACGTAATACTGATTAACTGACATTGCTTCGATTTAATCTGACCAACAAAAATCTCTATATCTGCGTGTTTTGTTTACTTCCAATACTGCTTTACCTGTTTTACGCATTTTTCATCTCTTTTATAGCATTGCAATATTTTCTAATTCTTAATGATCCTACAACCGTTTTAGTTTTTTTTTCTTTCTTTTCTAATATTGCTTGCAAAAGAAGCCTCAGAATATAAAACATGTCGAAATAAAAAGCTGTAATTAAGATACTGCGATAAAAGATAAGACGCCGTGCTTAAAGAACACCAATTAATTTTAAAGACAGTAAACAACAATAACTGTCTGAAAATAAATTTGTGTTAAATCCATAAGACTAAAGATTGTTTTGTTTGAATAAACCTTAAATAAGTGTTTGAATTAAGAAATTCTTATCCAACATTTATGTGCATTGTTTGTAACTTTACCGTCTGTCAACAAAAATATGTTTACTGTTAAGATTTTCCAGTCTAAAAGGCCAAACTCGCACTTGGCTATTAAGTAATTAGCATAACTTGTTTAACAGTTTCAACTCGCAATGTCTAAAAATTGTAGAGGCCTTCCAATCCGACATTTACTTTTATGAGTAACTGATATAATGTTAAAGTGAAACTCTTACTGATAAACAGTGCAGATCATTCGATTGAGACAGCTCTCTTTACTCACAGTAATGCTACCTTTGTTTACTCACAGTAATGATACCTTTGTTGTAAACCAGCCTACTCCATGACAGACGGTAGCTTTATTTTCGCGATCAATGTTCCGCGACATATGCGCTCTCTCTTTTCCACATTTACTTCCTCAATTCCTCTAATATTGTTTCATATAGATCAGTGGTATCTTTATCTCAGTAAAATTGGTCTCAAACATCGCCTTTTCTGCAAAGTACTACCTATTTGGCTCTAAAAAATGCGCTAATCAGGCGAATCGTAATGGTTACAATAAATTTCAAGTAAATCGTGTACTATGTTAAAAATAACCTTAGCCATTTTTTTCAGCTTGAAGAATGTAATTATGTCGAGTAATACGACAAATATCACAAATGCCAAATTGAAGTAAAATTCATAGTAAAGAGAAATGATTTGAGCGCACGGAGCATCGGAATAAAGAAATAACATCGCACTACGATCAAAATAATAATGACAGCCGTCTGAAATAATGCAAATGATTAAATTGAAGGAATTTCTAAGGATTTGTTAATATTTTCAAACGATATCAATTTGCAAGTTTTATAAATTTTTCTCAAGATAAAAAGTTTTCACTTTTTTTAAAAAGGCAAGACTTTTAATCTTAAGAGTTTTTTTTTTTGAGAAATGAAGAATTTACCAAATTGATAAATACAACTTTGTATAAAGGAAATAATCCATATTAGTGTAATCCACTTCATTGTTTTACGCTCATTAAAGTAAATTGCGTACGAGAATGGCTTTGCAATGGCCACATAACGATTTAGGCCAATCAATACATGTGTATAAATTGCACCATAATAAAATATAATCGTTGCTTGGCCAATCGTATATGCTAATCGTTTGTTTTGAAGAAACTGGGGGATAGTTTCAGGAGTTCTAAATTTTATTTCATTAGATGAGATTTGCTTGAATATCAGTATATGATAGCATTATCTCAGTGATATGCAATAAAATCGTTAAAAATTTTCAAAAAAAAAATCAAAAAAAATTTTTTATTCATAAGATTACCAAGAGGAAATGGCAAATTGTATAATTATTTTTCACAAATTACTGATATCACTTTATCTGAGACAATCAGTCAAAGCAAAATATGTCATTAAAAGCGTTTATTAACCTAAATAATTATGCTAGCATGTCACTAATGCATGAAAGCAAGTTAAGTTTGCTTTCTCTCATTCTGCATGTTAATAATTTTTTTTTTTTTTTTTAATTCTTCCAATTAATTGCAACTTTAATTTTAATCTACTTAATGATTATCTTTAATGAATGCACAGGAGTATTGAAATTAAAGTACAGAATTAAAATGCTGTTTTCATTAATTCCTGGAAACTTTCTGATAATTACTTTATTATATAATATTCTAGTGACTAAATGAGTGTTATCATCAGTCATTATTCACTTGATTTACATTTAAAACTTAATCTGATTCGTAAGACCCATAATCTAAGGATTAATTTGGTATAACTTTGTGTCTTACTTTTCCGATTCCTTTGAAGGTGCTATTTCCAATATAACTTCTATCTAAAATTCTATGTAAAAAAAACAATTCTAAATAATTCGATTTTTTGCATGCAATTTTGTCCAACTAAGGGATTGTAAGTGAATTATATTTTCGGTTAAAATTCATCAGTTCACTATAAATGAAATATAATTTAGCGGCAGGTAGTCACGTTGGTAGTCAATTCAGCAAAAAAAAAAATGAATGACAATGCAAGATTACTTCACAATAAATAGTTTTTCAAAGAGAAAAATTCCAAAAACAGTGAAACTGAATTTGCTCAAAACATAATTCACTAACATAATTTAGTGCAAGAATTTTATTAGCATATTTGAAAAAGTTTTCCAGAAGTATTTGTCATTCAAAAAATTTCGTTAAGTTTCAGAAATAACTCAAAGCTATTTAACAAGGAATTAATGTATTCTGATTAAGGATAAAAATATTTAGAAGCTGCCATTTGGGCCGACACCTAGAAATGCACTACTAAATTTACTGCAATTTTATTAAGGTCAAAACAGATCAGAAAGTTACTTAATCTATGCTGGTACTTCCTAAGTAATTTTTTTATGCTGGAAGCAATGTCAATCTACTTTGTATACACGTAATTTCAATACAATTAAAGACAGATAGAAGTTTTTGCAGAAATTTGAAGGATTAATTATATTAGAAAGCTATGTGAATCGAATGTACTGAATTAAATATGCTATTTTTTAATCTTTTTTGAAGATATTTAATCCTTTTTTTTTTGAAATACTTAGGGACTTAATTACTTAATTATTATTAAGAAAAATAACAAATTTATCAATAGAAATCTGGATGGTTTGTTAATATAAGTTGTTAATTCAGAGAAAGCTGTATTTCGAATTTGTTATTTGTCATTTCTGATCAAGGGTAATAGGACGAAAAGAAGATTTAACAAAAAAAAAAAATAATAATTCAAAACAAAGTGATCTACCGATTTGTTCTCGAACACTTTTGACAGTCCTAAATCATCCTTCTTTACTTCTTTTTAGATCATTCTATCCATCTATCTTTAAAAATCGAATTCAAATTATCCACTGCTTAGAACACATTAACTTTCGGTTTCACATTATCAAAGATTCAATTTAAAGAACCTATGATGTATAAATCATTTTTAATCTAAATTAATTATTGCCTAATCGTTATTCATTTTACTACTTAATTCGAAGACGCAAAGATTATGTTTAAGTTATAAAATATAATTTTACGCCGTTTATTTGGAATCGAAGAAGAGAAGTGAGAATCACTTGAAAGAAGAAATTATATGTCTATAATTTTCAATATATAAAAAACTAAATGGAAAAAATCTAACGCAATTGCAGGTACTGTAATTCTAATTATTTTGGATCAGAATAATTTAGCAGTGTTACTCATATCAAAAATTCTTGCCTTTATTCAGAAAATATAAGAAGTTACATCTTGCAACTAGCCAGTTCAGGCTTGTCAAGTAATTAGATAATTGCTGTTCACCTCAGTTTCTCAATTCCTTTGCATGCAAAAGCAACAACAATTTGTTTGGTATTAATTAACATTCAAATGGAAAAAAATTTGATGCATATCAAGAAAAGTAGATCGATGTAAGGAAATTGAGATTTAACGCAAGAAGAAAATAAGTCTTGGGTTAAATCTCTAAATTCAATAATAATTTGTCATTTGTTTCATTCTCAACTCTACGTCCCTTTCGCATTTTATCATTTTTTTATTTTGTTAACAATAAATGTCTTTTCTAAAAAGACTAGAAATCTTAAAATTTAAGAAAATTAAGCAGACTTGTCGAGAGACACTTAAATACAAAGCAGGTTCTCCATGCTTACAGCTTTCCTAAAAAATCTGTTTTTTCCGTTTTAGGATTTTTATGGGAAGATTTCATCAAATCCAAATTATAAACAGGGCATAAACATTCTATATATATATATTTTTTATTTCTCTTATTATACATACGATTCGACCTGCTATTCCTCGAATAAAGTGACATGTACAGGTGGTCTCTTATCGCATCCTTATCTGAAGGTTTTAATTAGCATTTGTTTTATCATTAAAAGATTTTAAAATGCTGGCAATTTTTGACACAGTTCTTTATGTTTACCTCTTCGTCTGTCTACTGAAATTGTACTTAGAATGTTAGTTTAGTCTCTTCTCTTATATTTTCCTTTCATCATAATAGATTGGTACATACCTAATAATAGCATTAGTAATTGTAAGAACGCTATAATCCATAAGAAAAGATTTTTCAATAATTTTTTAAGATGACAATAACATATTCACTGCATAAAAACATCCAAATTTGGTTTCTTGGTTTTATTAAATTGAAAGATAAAGTAAACAACGTAAAATGATGGAAAAAAATGTGCTGAAAAGGTAAGAAAGCAACCTATTGCTGCGTCATAACATAATTAATGAGAAAGCTTACAAAATAAGCTGAAGTGGTATCCATATGGCAAAGATGATCAGTACACCAAGGTCACCAACAGCATGAGACATGCAGGAATAGCCGAAAGCATTTTGCAAATTCTTCGCAGCTATGATGACCACAATTGCAGCACCGTTTGTTATGATACCGAACACTGATAACTGTAATGCAAAAGTTTGAACTGAATTAGCAGCAAAAAAGAAAAAGTGCTAAGGATAAAAACAAGGACACGTGAGTCCAATACACGTGATCCTTACTACGTCCTCATGAACACGTTAATGCACTGATGAGCAATTTTAGAATTTCATTATTATCTTGTTCATTTTCAATTAACAGCAATAGAAACCGTAAAGCAGATCACAGCAGCGTAAATTTCGTCCGCCCGGTTAGAGTGTATTATTTGTTCAGTGCTATTTAGCACCATTTGAATATCCTATGAATGATTCATTCCTGAAAAATATAATAATTTATAGATTGTGCATCTTTCTAGCCAAAAGCCGAGATGTATTTTCCGGCAAAAATCTATTGACAATCCGGCATTTTTCTTTAAAAGAAGAAAACAAGGATCATGAATAGAAGAAACTGGAAGTGTTATTCTTCATATTTCAAAAAATATTTTTGCCTCTTTATCTCATTAAAATAAAACAAAGCACATTGAGATTACAACGTTGACAATGCTAAAGTTATGAGTTAAAAATATGTTTCAGTAAGTATAATTCGTATTTTGTATTAAAGTTTGTACAATCATTATTTAAACACTTGAACATAAAACTTAATTGTTTATCATTTATGATGGATATTTAAAAGTCGATGCGTTTGCTGAAATTTGACGCTTGAGAAAGTCCGATTGGAAAACAAAAGTGCTTGATAGCTAAAGTTTGATGAACACCTGCTTATCGTGCTGCATAATTATAAAAAATTCATTATCTATAAAGCGAGAAAAAACAAACCTTGTACGGTACATTTCTCGTCGAAATTTTATGGTTTAAAAGACTAGTATTTCAGAAAGTTTTTTCTACAGTTTATTCTTATCTTTTGTGTTCTGCAAATTTATTTTCTAAAACCCATTGTGTAGAAGAATAAAATAATTTGCTAAAAATTATTGATAAATGAATTTTTATCAAATGTATTTGCTTGAAAGTATCAAGCACTTCTAAAACTAGCAAATTAAATGAACCTAGACATTTAAAAAAATGGAAGGGACCAACTAACAATGAGAAAACGAACCCGATAATTATTAGATTTAAGTTCATTTTTTTCTTGCATATGATTATTTTCAGGACAGCATAATACTGATTGCAAAAAGGCCTAACTCCTATTTTGCATATATGTTTTTAATTTTAGGTAACAAGTATGTATGCATATGTCACTTATCACTCAAATTATTCTTTAATTTAACAGCAAATCTAATTTCTCACTTTTCAACGAAATTTCTTTATTGCTAAACTTTCTATGAGAATTTATTTAAGTGATACCATTTTCATATCAAATCAAGCTTTTCTTCATTAATTTTATCAAAAATCAGTGTAGATGACATACTATGTCAAAAAAGAAAAATAAACTTGATGCATCAATCTTGTTGACTCCAAAAAGATTGTCGATTCAGTTGAATTGTCAATATATGATAAGCTCAAAAAATCAGTCATTCCTTAAATATTTGAAAAAAAAAGTACTCCGTGTTATTAGCAAAATATTTAAACCCAAAACTTTTCAAAAACAATTTTACTACCATATTATTTTGTCATTTGATTACCAAACCTAAAATATATCAACTCACGAAGAAAAATTAAACTTTGTAAAATTTTCAAACATATGAAAGTCAGCTTCGGATGGTGATTGCATTTGAATATTAGGAAGTAAATCATTACAAATAATCAATTGCTTGGATTGAACATTCTTTGCAAATACAGTTGGAATAAATAAAATTATATGCAAAAAAATTGAGTAAAATAAAAATAGCATAAAGTACTTGCTGTTGTAATAGTGATAGCAGATGAAAAATGATGAAACCTGCAAAGCGGTCGGAGAATAAGACGTAAGATTAGATTATATTATATTAGCCCTTAGATTGTAGATCTTACGGTGTCCAAATTGCGTCATTAAAGGCAAGTAATGTGAGTTGAATGGTGGCTGATGACAACACTCATTCGATCAGTGAAATATTAGTCAATAAGCTAATTATCAGGTGTGTTTCAAAGATATATGAAAACAGCATTTTGATTCTACCTCCCATACATTCATTAAAGCATGATAATTAGCTTATCAACTAATGCTTTGCGGGAGCTTATATGGATTGAAACTAAACTTCTATTTAATTAAAGGAATAAAAAAAAAGTTATTGAAATCAGAAAGTGAATTTTTAATCTAATTTATTATTAGTTTTCAACTATTTATTTGTTGAAAAAGTAATTAAAAATAAATTGTTTAACTTAAAATTAAGATTAAAAGTTAAATTTGGGAGACCTTTTTTGAGAATTAGCAATAAAAAAATAATTTAAGAAATTTTCAATTTAAGAGGGCAACTAAAATCAGCAACGGCGATATCCAAAAGCGATAGGTAAGTAAAAAACGAAAAGCTTCTACCATGCCACTTTTTAACACATTCATTAATTTATAAAATTAAAAATCCACTCGAAATTTAAATTAAGTTAAGAATTGAAAATTTTCTAGTCAGTTGAAAGTGGATAAAGAATTAAGAGTCCAACAAGAGACTAATGTAAAGGTGGAACAACAACGTGGTGGTTTTCGGAAATTACTGATGCGAATTAGTGAAAAAATTGGTACCACAGAAAAGACTGAGTACACCAAATGCTTCACTGATATGTGCAAGGAAGTGGACGAATACAGAGTAAACATAATAAATGATCAATATGATATTAATAGTTGGATTTTGCTTTAAAATCCATTCATTTTGAAAAAATTCATTCTGAAATTATCATTTTTTGGATAATGGAAAATGTCAGGTTATTTAGGTTATAATCGAGGATATAGCACAACAATTAATTTCTACTCTTCAACAAGATCCACGTTATGTGCCAAAACCACCCGGCAAGATGGAAGTTGAAGCTCCGCCGCAGGAAGATCCTTTTGAATTATTGGAATTGGCGCTTAAGATAACAAGCAATCAGATGGAGTCAAAAAAAGTCCTATTTTTCGTTAACTAGAATTTTATTATTTAAAAAAAAAAAAAAAGATCATGGATAACCATAAACAATATCCTATAGATTTTGTTTTATTTGAATCAATTAATTAAATTTCATTTTATTTTACTAAATAAATTTGAAATGGAAGATTATAAGAACCGCTTGGGCTATTTGCACATCTGATGATCCATGTTTTACTGAAACGCTATTTTACATTAATTGCAGGAAGTTGAACAAATCCAAATCTCAGCACTTAAACTTGCATCATTAAATCGCGAATATCATCGAAAAGGTCGCCGAGCCATACACAACATTCGGACGTTCATTAACGTCGATTACGAAAATATTCGAGACGCAAGGAACAGTATGCTGCGACATGTTTGAAAATGAATGATTCAAATTTAAAATTAAGCTAAACTGGATTTCACTTCAATTTTTTTCTTCAGTGTTGGAGAAATTTCGCCAAGAGCTTGATTTTGCGAAGTATGAACTGAGAGGTGCTAAGACTCCTGAAACAATTCAAGTGAACAACGCCCTTTATGCTGACGCACTCAAAAATTTCCAGAAACAGTTGTGTGATGTATGAAAATTTTTTATTGCTCGAAAAGTGTCGAATAATGTATTCCCTAATTAGGAAAAAAGTCAGATAATGATAATATTGGCAGCAATGAATGATAATAGTAGTAATTAAGTGATGATAAAATAGCTCAATAAACAAGGCAGTAATAGAATTACTTGATAAAAAGATAATTTAGCAAATTAAAGTAACTTATTGAACAAGCAAGTGCAGTTGCAGAGATACTTACTTATAGACTGAAAGTATGCTGAAAAAGTTACCTGAAACTCGAGAGAAACATCGCATAGAAATAGTGAAATTTTTTCAGGTATTTAAATATTTTGTATTTTTAATTTGCAAGTTGAAAGCTTTTTTTCGCCCTTCCCTCCACCATAACTTCCTTATCTCTTCATCTGATCAATTGTGATGAAAAAAAAAACTGCGTATTTTTTTCTTTTTCCCTTTTATCTAATTCCGTCTGAAAAGAAATAAGTAAATGGAAATAAAAAGTTCCGCTTTGATGGATACATTGGTTAGGTAATTAATTACATATGCAATAGAAATTCTTAAGCTTTTATGAATTTTGTTTTTCTATTTGATTTTATTCAGATATTTGAGATGAATAGAATGGATATTGTGGGAAATACTTCGTTCTTGTATTGCTGAACTAAAAGCTTTTATATTGGAGCAAAAAATTTTTATAATTTTGTAGTTGATGAGAAAATATCATCAGCACTGTGCCAATGCGACCATTTTGTCCACCTAAAGTTGATGAACCAACCAGTTCATTCATTTATAAAATGTTGACGAATGCAAAAGAATCTGCTCAACAATGATTTCCCTTTGTGCTAATGAAAAATTCTAATTTTTGTAATAAATTATTAGTTAACACTTTAAAAGTCCCATTTTTTGCTGAATTACTCAATAATGACCGCTTATAATAGCTACTATCTAATGAGTACTCACTCATTAGATGAATATGCATGTGCTGCCTGACAGATGGTCCCACGTGATTCACCTGCTTCGCAGTTATAATCTCTGATTTCTAAGAATTTATTTCCATCTGCAAATGGATCAGTAAAAAAATAGTGTTATGCCCAAACTTTATAGAATAATAAATATCATTACTCAAAATTATTAAATCCTTACAAATATTTGGTTCATTTTAAATTAATCTCAATCAGTTTAAATGTGTTTGTCTATTGCTTTCAGACTAATCGCAACAATTTTCATTATTATTCCCATGAGAATTTTTAATTTCTTTATTAGTTTCTTCAAAAGGAAAAAACTTTTCGAAAATATTTGAATTGTATCTTTCAAAAGTTCTCAGCTCTTAAAGCAAACACTTATTTTTGCAAAACTAATCTTATGAGATAGGATCATTGCTGAAAGTTACATTGACAAAACAGACATGGACCTCAACGAGGACAGGTATACTCCTCCATGAGAATATAAAATATGCAGCTAGTCACTTTGAAAACATCGCAAAGATAACAAAATTTTATTCAATAAAAGTTTCGAACAATGTAAAAAATGGAAACATACACGAAGGACAGACAATACAGAGCCATTTTTCATACAACTAACTACAATTTACTAATTAATTTAGCATAATTATTAGTGGGATATTTTTTTAAATGACTAAAAGATTGATATATAATTTTAATGTGTATTCATTTCAGTAGTTACAGTAATCATTTCGAGTTCCTCTGGTACAGTAATCCG